CAGTATTATTTCCAACTTAGAACTGGGTTAACTTGAATAAGGTGCCAACTGCAGTTTAGAAGGCACTGACTTGTTCAAACTCAAGGGGTTGGATCCAGTACTCGTCCCTCTGAGTTCAGAACGAAAAGGATTGAGGCTTGAAATTTTTCACCACAAGCGTCTCCATGAACCCCATTAATGAAGTCAGTGCCCTACCAATGTTCAACTGGAATTAGGAAACATCACAAATACACAGAGGATAGTTAGGTCCCTGATCTAGCTTCATCATCAACGAAGTCAGTGCCCTGCCAATGTTCCTTTATATGCTACAAAAGAACTAGATAGTTGCGTTCACATGATCATCATCAACCTAAATTTCTTCAAAAAAAGCATTAACGTAATCAATGAGTAGGTTAATTATAAATTCCTACTGTCCACGGCAACACTGACCACACTGAGGAAAAAAATATGCATACTAAAATAGAAAGTGAGAAAGCTTTCACATAAAATGAGCAAAGGAATCATATGGTCTTTGACGGTGTCACTATGGGGCTCGACTGTGTTCTCCAGCTTGCATGTGTCCATTGGCATGTACGTGACTCAAAACTCAAAATGGAACATTTTACCGGGTCCACCCAACCCCACCCCCCGCGCGGGCGGCCAAGAGCGAACCGTAGCGCACGACCGGCATGACTGTTCTTTTTGGAGCAACGAACTAATTGGTTTTCTGTTTGTGCGGGTTCTACGTGTCCAATTAGACCATAAAATTCGACAGGAATTAAGCCATGATAGATTCCTTGTTAATCCGGATTTGTTTTGAGTTTAAGAAACTTATTTATTTGAGTTGTGAGACATTGCACGGACAACCAAACACTACTTTGTAACTAGGGCTTTCAGAAAACTTTGTGTTAAGGCCTGGATGGCAAGCACACCCAAACACTATTTCGTAATTAGGGTTTTTGGACAACTTGGTGTTAAGGCTCGAGATGATCATTGCACGTGATTTTCCTTCCCCAAAAAAATGATCCAAGTCATCTTTTACGTTAGCAAACCACTTCACCTCATGTGACATGTCGGCGTCTATTCCAACAACCTTCTAGTAATTGAATGAACATTACCGTTTTTGGTATTAATTTTTGGTTTTGTATGGAGTGATAGGTAAGGTAATAACACCGATGCAAGCCATATAACTACTGAAGGCTTTAGCGCCACATCACTTACATCAAATCGGGGCATAGACATCAGCACTCTCTGAGTGGGAACTGATGATGGCGGGTGCTGATGTTGCTTCGCTCACTACATGATTGCGTAGTGTTGACCTACGAATTCAGTTGATGGTTGTTTCATACGTCTAGGGCTTTGCCTTGGAATCTAGGCGCCTTCCTTTCTCAGGGTTGGCGGGGTACCCTGTTAGGGACACTTGCTCGCCCAGGTGTATGCGCAGCCGGATATGAGTCTGATCCCACTTTTTTCTTTTTTGGACAGAGGGTCTGATCCCACATTCCCAGTTAGCGTTGACATCTACTTTGACATAGACGACTATAAGATGGTATGGACCATTTAACATTATATATGCTGGTTTTTGTGTAGATAATGGTAAGATTTCCCAACGGCGAGAGAAGGCAGCAGAGCTTCCGTCACACGGACACAATAAGAAAAATCTACAAGTATGTTAACTCCTTATTTGGGGAGGTTCTTAGGCTCCCTGGTCCTAGCCGCCACCCTCTGGTGTAACCGTAATAAACTAGTCATAGAACGCGTGATTTCTTGCCGTGTGACTAATGCGATCTATAAAATGTGTGGCCTCTTACAGCTTTGGAGACCGCTTAGCAAGCGGAGAGACCGGGGCGCCATCGACTTCATCATAGCTGGTCTTCGTTCTTCGGCGTCGGCATTTGCGCCTCCTCCGCCACCACCACCACCACCTCCCGAGCCGGATTAGCTTTTTTTTAGCTTTGTTTGGGGCTTGTCTTGCTATGCCCCCAGCGCGACTTTGACTTGATTGTACTCTGTACTGTTATGTTGGATGTTTGATTCGTTGCTTTATAATATAAAGCGGGGGGACTGTACTGTTATGTTGGATGTTTGATTCGTTGCTTTATGATATAAAGCGGGGGCAAACCTTTTTTCTTAATGACGAAAAAGGGTTTTCCCCGCTTTATATTGTAAAGCAAACATCCGATACATCCAACTCGCTGGGGCCGCAGCACAGATAAGCCCAAAAGAAAAACAACAAGAAGAAAGAGAAATAAATGCTGACAACGGCAGATCAACGAAGAAGGGAAGTCCGGCAACCGCTGCACCCTCCAAAGAAGTACCACCACGCTCCCAGCATCCCGAAGCGCCGCGCCCCAAGCAACACCCTCAAGAGGGAGTGTGACGATACCGCCGCTGTTGCCCGAACAAGTTCTAGGGTTTCCCCACGTACGCGAGGGATAGTGGGGAAGGGGTGTACCCGATGCCCCTCAGGAAGGTCCGACGGCGCCCGCAGGCGTCATCGCATCGGTGCCGGTCAGGCCGACAGGGATTTCTCCCGATCCACAACCACCACCACCACCTCAGGCATTTCGAAATGCACCACCTCCTCGGCCACCCACCAGCTTGTGCCACCACGATTACCGAACAACCCTCCCCGCTTCACTGGAGCTGTCAACACGAGGCTTGGAGAGGAAGAGGAGACACCAGCCACGGGAACGACCACAACTCGACCGGAAGGAGGGGACAGCCTCCACCGCCACAGCGGAGCCGACCGAACGCGGCGACGAGGACTTGCCAGGCCTCGATGGCCCGGCCGGGCCCACATGGACCCGGACAGTCCTGTCACCACGCTGCAGCACGCCAGCCAACGAAGTCCTCACCGCCCGAGACCGCCGCCACCACGCCATCACCAAGGAACGTCGCCGCCGAGCACCAAGCCACCGGCCCGCGCCAACCCAGATGGGCCCAAAAGGGCCCAGATCTGGGCTGGGCGGGCGCCGCCAGCCACAGCGCCACCGCGCCGCCCCACGGCCAACGGCCGCACCGCCGCATCGAGAGCCACCGGGCCCGCGGCACCACCACCGACGGGCCGCACCGATGCCGGCCGAGGAGCACCGCCACAGGCCACCACCGCCCGAGCA